GCCATAACACGCTAATAAATCGGTCTCGCCAATAAACCAGTTACCCTTCCGAAACGACTAAAAAGGACAATAGCGTCCACGGAGAACTGTAACAGGTTCCGACTGTCACAGTAAATACACGTACATGGCTTTAAGGTTATCCCAAATACATTTAACGAGTAGACAGAATATGTGCTTAGTTAGTTAGTTAGTTAGTTAGTTAGTTAGTTAGTTATTTATTTAGAGAGGGTGGGTTTCCCCATGCACCGCGACCAGTTTGATCTATTGTGCTTCCCTCTATGATATTCTACCAGTCTCTATACCCTACCGATAAATGGTGCGTACCATCAGTCCCGCCGAGCAAGCGAGTTCGACCACTTGCTTAGCGCTGTCTATAATGCTTCCCCCATCTATCAGAGGCCTTAGAGACTATTGTTGGGCGGGAAACGTCCTGAAATTTGGCTCAGTGATCCCCTTTGGGGATATGAGGTTCTTTTACGTGTCGTAAAGTTACGACACAGGACACACAGCTTAAAGTCCCTCCCGGAGGACTTGTTCCCTGAAATTTTCCGCCCTTAAAAATTCGACTACCTCCGCCGGGTATTTGAACCCGCGTACCACGAGTCATGAGGTGCGAACGTTACCTCTAGACTACGGAGGCCGCTGAATATGTGCTTAAGTAATAAGTTCTTCACAAAAATATAATAAATTAACACTAATAATAATAAGAAACATATAGAAGTCTATGCAGTAGGAAGGCAGGCTTTATCGTTACTGTTAGGGGCTCATTTTATCTGTAGGCCTATTAGCAACATATCGATATCTGGTGCATAACAAGGAGGACACGGTCACTTGAGAATATCTCTAAGCTACGCAGATATTCATCAAGCAGCACTTTCCTTATAAACCGCAAGAAACATCCTGCAAGTTTGTGAATATTCATTTTATTTCCCTGCTGATGAATCATTCTGCCTTCTGTTATGGATGTGTACTTCGATATCTTGCATTAAGAACACAGACTGCTGGTGCTTGAGCAGAGGGTTCTGAGGGAAGTATTGTCACATAAGACAGAGGAAACAGCAAGAGGGAGATTTGAACTCACATAAAATGATGAGCTTCATAGTTTGCCATCTACTACTCACCAAACGCTATTGGGGTCATCAGATCGAGAAGAATGAGAGGGTAGGGAGAGTTAGCACGAACGCTAGAGATGAATGCGATGACAATTTTTATCGTAAAACCCGAAAGAAAGAGACCTCTTGGAAGATATAGGTATAGATGGAAGGATAATATGAAAATATATAAGGGTTGGATAAAAAGTAGTGGCAACACTGCTGTAACATGAAAGATGTGCGTCAGGTGGCACTAGCGCCGTCTGTAGCTGGCAGCAGAAGTTCAGTTGAAGTAGTGCAGTGAGTGACTCTGGTTTTTTCATTGAGTTGCATTGTGCATCGTCCTGAAGTGCAGGAGCCCAGTTCAAGCGCCCTAACAACATGTTTACGAAACAAGAACAACGCTCCTGAAAAAAAAATGAAGTTGCACGAGGTCTTAGTGCACAAAACTGTTATCAGGGACTGCGAGAAGCACGTGGTGATGCTGCTTTGCCATATCGCACAGTGGCGCGATGAGTGAAATTGTTCTGTAAAGGGAGGGATGCCGTTCAGGACGACCCCATGTTGACAACCACACAGTTCAGCTTCTTGCTTCTTTGCTGGATGTCGATCGTCGATGGGCTGCGTGGGAGTGAGCTGCTGAGGTAGGCGTATGTCACAAAACCGTGCTCCACATTCTGCACGATATTCTTGGATACCGCAAATTTGCAGCGCGTTGGGTACCCCATACAATGTCCGAGGTGCAACAATGGCAACGTTATGCAATTGCACAGGACTTGTTGGACCGGTACCAGAGGGAAGGTGACGACTTCCTTGGAAGGATCGTCACTCTGGGCGAAACTCGGGCTCGCTCATACCAACCGCACTTGAAGTGACAATCAAATGAATGGAGGCAATCTTCTCCAAAGAAAGTGCGCCCTACACAGAGTAATGTGAAGGCGATATTCATTGTGGCATATGACACTGATGGAGTGATACTGCACCACACTGTACCTCAACGACAGACAGCAAACGCTGCCTACTACTACAATTCCCTGGGTAATCATCTTCGTCCAGCACTCAGGAGAAAGCGACGACACTTGTTAGCAACGAACCCCATCATCCTACATGACAATGCAAGGGCTCATACTGCTGACGCTATCGAGGATCTCCTTCGCCGCTGGCCATGGGAGATACTGCAACATCCGCCATACTCACCCGATATGAGTCCGTGCGATTATGACATCTTTGCCAAAATGAATGAACCACTGCGAGGGTTACGTTACAACACAAGAGATGAGATTATTCGTGCTGTCGGGCGGTCACTGCTGGATATCAACAGAAGCGGACGCACTGAAGGTGTACGATGCCTTCCACGAATTTGGCAGAAGGCGGTACACATGGGGGCAATTATATTGAAGGAATGTAAGTGTGTTTACCTCAGGTAATAAAGTCATTTCAGAACTATAGAGGTGTTGCCACTACTTTTTATCCCACCTTTATACCTTTAAAAACGGAGTGTGTGGGTGTAGGCTGCATTGGGCGGAGTTGAAGAATGGCATACTTGTAATAAGCATAAAAGAAACAAGAAATCTAGAAGAATTTTGGTTTTAGAACCTCATACAAACCCAGGACGTTGATGGGAACGTGAAATTAAAGTCGACTGTATGAATATCTAAATACTTCCCAAGTTTTTGTTTGTATTTTCAAAGTTATGGCGAATTACCGCAGAAACCCGCAGTAGGCCATTCAAGTCAGACTAGAATTCAACATATTCGTTGAAGCGTAATAAAGGTTATGGCATTTCAAACTATCACAAGCAGTCATCCGAATCTCCCATACTCAACCTGTGATCCGCGGATCGCTGTCGGCCAGGAATTCCTGCTTGGTGTTATATTATTAGCCTACTTTCCTTATTTAAAAAAAAAAATAAAAGGAGGTGTATGTGATCGCTATGCTGTCTGTGCGTCTCTGTGGCGCCGTCTGATGTTTTTCGTTTTCTGTGCAGTCCGTATCATATCAAAGACAAGTAGACATTTAGTTCTTCTCAGAACTTCTTGTACTGTATCATAGCTGGAAAATTGTCGATTTTCAGATAATGACAATTTTCTTTTTCTGTTCGTTTACTTGGAAGACGATTAAGCCTGACAATTTAGTTAAATCAGGTATTTCATACACCCTGCTATGCCTATTTTATTGCATCACAAGGAAGCATAAATTTGCATACCTTAATTAAATATTTTACAAGAGCAAATATTTCTGATACGGTTCCTTATGCGTTCATCATTTTTTTCGAATATAATATCGACCAATGGTTGGATCCATAGCATCAGAAGAGACGACAGCGACGTAGGCAGTATGTGGCAACGGACTTGCGCAGTGCCACAGTCCAGTCGGTCTGCTGTAACGCTGCCATGATTCACAGTCACATGTGTGATTCATGGAATGTTCGAGCCGAAACAAAGTAAATGTTTCTTTTCAATGACAAACACGTCGTCACCATGAGCACGATAATGAATATGGGTAGCTACGGGAACTCCAACCGCAGTGAATAATCAGCTGATCCATGTGTGCCAACAAAACAGTTCACAAGTTGCATTAATCATCCGTGAATTCTAAGCCATTGCCGCGTATCAGTGGCGGTATGGAGTGAACTAGTTCCCAACCTGCAGCTTTCGTAGCGAACCTACAGAGCGCAGAGATATCTGTGTTTTCCACCTGCTTTGAAGAGTTAATTAAACTAACCCGCTTCCCCCTCTCGTACAAAGTTCTCGAAATCTGGGAGAGTACTCGGTTCCTATTATATCAGAAATTCCATTCCATTCATAGAAAAGTTGGCCCAAGGGTTAGAGCTTCTGACCAGGAGGTGTTCGGTTCGAATCTCGGCAGGGACATCGACTATACTGATGGATGGTTTCCGTAGTTGTCCTTAGTTCCTCCAAGCAGGTGCCGGTAGCATCTTTCTGCATCCTTTCCAGTTCATAATTCATTAGTCATTCGACGCTATATATTCAGAGTTTTTGTATTGCTAGTGGGGTGGGACTAAGTCCGTTGTACTGCGGCCACTTCTGGCCTATTGTACCGGCCCCAGATGATAAGTGAGGGTTATTGTGGAGCAACTGGTGGAATGAAGATTGGCAGGGGAAACCGAAGTACTCGGAGAAAACCTGCCCCAGCGCCACTTTGTCCACCACAAATCCCACTTGACCAGACCCGGGATCGAACCCAGGCCACCGCGTTGGGAAGACAGCGACTAACCGCTTGAGCTATGGCGTGGCCTATATTCAGAATTACTAACAACTCAGTCAATTAAAGTATATATATATATATAGAGAGAGAGAGAGTGAGAGAGAGGATAGCTCAGTCGGTATACCGACAGGCTATGGGCTGGATAGCCAGGGTTCTATTCCCGATAGGGGCAAGAATTTTCTTCCCCACAGCGTCTAGACCGGCCCTGCGGTTCACCCAACCTCCTATCCAGTGGGTACTGGGGGGTGAAGCGGCCGGGGCGCGAAGCTGACCACTCACCTCCAGCTAGTACCGAGGTCAAGGATGGTGGAGGTGTACCACCACTCCCCAATATGCTTCAATTCATTAATCACAAGGACAACTTCGCCTTATAAATATGTATTTATATACCCATACAGGCACGCGCGCGCACGCACACTGCAGAGAGTGCGAACTCACAACAATCCAGTCATCACATTGTTGCAACCAATACTAAATGAAATACAATATCAAGAATTTGTTATAAATAAGAATTTCTCTTTTATTAAAGTAACGAGAGTTGGCAACCGAGAGACTCTTCGGTAAATTCATCTACCGGCAGAATTTCTATTATCCGTGACCAGCGCGTTCAGCTCTTTGACGGTGTACAATGTTACCATAATCTCACTCAGCCCATAGAAATCTTACATTGCCTGTTCACAGCTCACTACACCGTGCCAGCCGGGACTACAGCACTCGTCCTGACATATATGCTACATCGCAACCCAGAAACGTTTCCGCAGCCCGAGAAATTTAACCCCGACAGATTTTTACCAGAGAATGTTTTGGGCCGCCACCCGTATGCTTATATCCCTTTCAGTGCAGGACCCAGGAACTGTATAGGTAAGCATCTTTAATGTTTTGTTTTGACGATGGTACATTAGTACAAATATCATGTTTCTGGACATTATCCATTGTCCTGCTTTTACCTAGAACACAATCCTGCTTATTTTTCAAAACACAACGTTTCGGAGATTGTCTCCGAAACGTTGTATTAGCAGGGTGCCGTTCTAGATAAAAACAGGACAATGGATAAAATCCAGAAACATAATATTTGTAACAGTGTACCTGTCTGGGTTCAGAATCCGATGACTCAACTGGACTCGACTGAGAGTAAACATAATGCAAAATTCTGTCCGGACGTGCCCTCGATCTTTGTACCTTGCGACTGTAGCGCATGCGTACGTATGCATTGGCTTTATATAGACCTACGTCTTGGGGTTTTGAAGATTACCTGCTGCCCTGGATGGCCGCCAGTGTTTATTCATGACACAAACCCAAGTTTGTTTCACAATGCCTGCCCCGTGGCATTCAAACTCTAAACCATTTCCCTACAACACCTTCCCCCAACTAATCAAGCAATTATTGATACACTGACTATAGAATTTTACTAATTTATCGATAATATGTATAGTAGAAATTATTAAAAGTTTATTTTAAAGAGAAAGCGACAAGTTTTGAGGAGCCAGGATAGCTCATTCGGTATCGCAACGGACTACGGGCTGGACAGCTTGGGTTCGATTCCAGCAAGTTCAAAATATTTCTCTTCTTCACAGCTTCCATGCCGCCTCCGAGGCCCACCCAGCCTAATATCCAGAATGTACTGGGCTCTATCCCCCAGAGAAAAACGGCAGAGGCGTGAAGCTGACCATAAACGTCGATGTAATGCCGAGGTCAAGAATAATGGAGCTATACCTCCCCCCATACGTCTTCGTGGCGTGATGATTAATTAATTAAACACAAGGACAATTTTATCTTTTTGCCTTACTCTGTAACGAACCAAGTTCCGGGTTAGGGTGGATGTGATAGTGTGCTGTGTGGTCAAGGGGCGGCGACAGATTGGAATGGAGTAGTGGAAAACCAAAGAAACTCGAAGAAACCCTGCTTCATTACTAATGAGTTACCACAAATCGCTTGTGAAGTCACCAGCGGCGAGAAGCCAGCGCCAAACCGCCTGAACGTTAGGCTGTTCTGTGAAGCGCAATGGATTTGTCCATAGCCTACATGAATGGCATGGGCAGTCATGTGAACATAGTTTACTGTACATGCATACTGATAAAGAAGAAAGTTAAGTTATCCCTGTAACAGGCCATGGAGGCCCATAGGGTTGTGAGACGTCGAGGCTCCCACATTTTCTAAACAATCGGTGAGATTCCCAGCCTTACGCACCAACTGGCCGTCAGTTTCCCCCAGGAACATTAATTTCTTTTAGAGCCTGAGTCGACCCCAGGACTATAGTTGCAGCTGGAAGCATTACGTCAATTGAAACATATAGTAATCTCATTGGAATCGAACCAGCAACCTTCCGGCTTGTGCCGTATTGACTCAACCAGCTACGCTATCGCCTTCCCCATAGGCATATTTGATAGGCCTTCATAATTCTGTATGTCGCCACAGAGATGAGGCAGAGAATTACTGTGCTAATAAGTTTCTTCAGGAACTTTGTAAGCTCTACTTAACCAAAAGAGAGAAAAATTGCACGAGTGCTCATTTCGCAGTGTAGACAAAATTTTGGTTTGAAACTCTTAGTATAAGTAGTATTTACTTTCAGGTCCGTAAAAACCTCATCGTCTAGCTAAACTGAGACGATTTGGGGAGCACTGAAGAAAGCGGCACTATCTTACGTTGTTCAAACAGCATATCTTCCTGTCATGCTAAACCTGAAATATGACGTAACATTTCTTCTTTCCTCAGGCCAAAAATTCGCCTTGCTCGAAGAAAAAGCTGTAATTGCCTCGATCCTGAGGACGTACCGAGTAGAAGCTGTGGACAGAAGAGAAGATCTGACGCTTCTAGGGGAACTCATCCTGAGACCAAAACACGGCTTGAGAATCAAGATCTTCCCAAGAACAACGTGATTTTTTCTGTTTAGCTTCAATAAAATCATTTTCATATGTCTGTTTTTAGTTTCATTTAGGTCACCAATCATCTGTATCTTTGGCAATGCTACTTGTCATCGCTTACTAAAAGTAATAATATTTACTGTATATAAGTAAAAAGAAGCTTCCAAACTATCACTGTACTGTGTGTTCGTGTACTGTACCTGTTATCCAGTAAATTAACTATTTCATTCTGGTGGAATTTCAGTCATGAGAATAACTAACGCTATCCGAAAGTGCGGGCGATCCATAACTAATAGGGCTAACAGCCAATTTGGTACCCGAACTGAAAAATAACTGTGAACCAATCACAGTACATAAACTAAGAAACTAAACTAAGACCAAACTCCTTGGCTTTTAGTCCTGAAACGAACTATACTGACCGAGCGACCGCAGCTTGTCGGCGAAGTTACTGTCAACTCTCGCGGATAAAGGGTGACGCGTGGTCAACAGAACTGATACCCACGGCCGTTAATCTGTGGGCTAGTGTTCAGAGTTCCTGGCTAGAGATTCAAAGGTCCCGGTTTCAATTCCCGGTGCTACTATATTTTCTGAGAAGTACTTGGTCTCGAACGGGATCCACTCAGCCTCATGAGGATAAATGAGGAGCTACCTGAATGACAAAGTAGCGACTGCGGTCTAGAAAACCGAGACCACAGTACATAGTTGATGAATTTTTTTACCACATCTTGAATTTATTGTCTCCATAAAAATGCAAGTGGCTTATAATTCTCTGTTGAACTATCGCAGATATAGGGGACGCTATAGCGACGGGCTGCAGGCGGTACGGTTCGGTTCCCATCAGAGGCAAGAGACTTTTCTCTATTCTACACCGTCCAGATCGGCTCTGGGTTCCGAAGAATAAAGCGGCCGGTGTATGAAGCTGGTCACTAACGTCACTAACGTCGAGGTTAAGATTAGTGGACCTATATTTCCACTCCTCCATACGTCTTCATGGAGTGGTGCTGAAGTAATTAAATATAGGGATAACTTTACCTTTGTTATTGCAGTTATGAACACTTCATCTTTGAAGCATGAAATTCTTCGAAATAGCGTGTATAAAAATACAGTTTTAAATGGGATTCTTATGTAGCATATAAGAAAGAGTAAAAAATTTCAAAGGATGTAGTTGGAATTCTTCCATACTTGTTCCCTTGGCCGTCACATCCAGAAGGGGTCTGGGGACGACTCAGCTCTCTGTCCAGTGTGTCCCGCTTTGGTCTTCTCACCCGGGGTGATATTTGAGCTTGAAGGTAACCCGTCGCGTCCGTTTCCTTTCTGTATCCCAATACGCGTTCACTGCGTGGGTCTTGGGTGCACACTCTCACTTTTAACACTACTATTTCATTTTTCCCCCAAAATATTAGGACCTTTCCACGACAGTTTTGTCACGGCACCGAGGAACGTGATGTCTATATCATAATTACTTTTCGTGTGTAATTTTGTGAGGTCCACAGAGAATAACCCTCTTAACGTTGTTTATCTTTCTTTGGCACTCTTACTTGACTGTAAAAGTAGAACATTTACTTTCAATATCGTAATTTTTACTCTATTTTACTTATTTTGAAAAAATAATAAAATATCACTTTGTCCTTGTCTGCCTGCCTGCCTGTTTGTCCGTCTGTCTACCTCCCTAATTGTTTAGGCTTATGAGGCTTATGAGACCGTGTCTGTGTATCTCCTTAATTTTGCCATTCTCTGTGCGGTCCGTGTCGTATCAAAGCAAAGCAAAGCAAATTATCAGTTTGTGAAAATGACCACTCACCTCCAACTAGTGCCGAGGTCAAAAAAACGTGGATCTATACATCCACTCCCCCATACGCCTTCATGGCGTAGTGCTTAATTAGTTAAGCACAGGGGCAACTTTACCTGTCCCAGTAAATAAGATCACCTCCGATGTTGAAATTTGTGTTTCATGTAAAATCGATACACTTTGAAATTTCTTTTTATTATCGATAACAAGCTTTTGTGGCAGAGAAGCTATGCCACAGTATTAACAGTCTATATGATAAAACCAACATAGGAAACTTGAAGCCCCAAACGTCTGCAGAATACGCAGTGAAGGACGCCGAAAATGGAGGGCGTAGAATGCCCGTTACAAAGCCATTGTCTCAGAGCTATTAAAGAAATGTTGTGATAATTAATAGACGTATAAAAGTTTTCATTTTTATTTCGATAAAAAGAATTTAAAGTTATAATAATTAACTATATATATTATTTTGTTAGGTGTTCATAATTATACACGGAGCCCTTATTGATTATTGAATTTGCTGAAAGCTTGTTAAACGTAACTATATATAGTTATAAGTCTTTCGCTATCTACACACACTACGAATAACTACAGTGCAAACTCAAGGCATGCGCATTTGAGACTTTAGATACACACTCTAAAAATAGGAACATCTGTATTCTACCAGATAGTCAAGCTACAATTAAAGCACTTGGTACACACCAAATCACTTCAAAATTGGTCTGGGACTGCCACCAATCTCTCATACAACTGGCCAGACATAACAGAGTTCAATTGATAAGGGTGCCAGGTCATGAGGGTATTGTAAGGAATGAAACCGCATATCCGCTGGCAAGAAAGGGATCTCAATAGCCGTTCACAGGACTCTGAACCAGCCTGCGGCAACTCAATTGGGGTTGCCAAGAAAGCGATCAGGGACTGGACATATAGAAATCACAGAAAACACTGAGAATCCATAAATGGACTCAAACAGGAAAAGGGATTTGTATTTGGACCCTCTGCCAGAAGAAAGAAGGGCCTGTTGAAATTAACAGAGGTCAATTAAGATGTGTGGCAGGATTACTTACAGGACACTGCCACCTAAAAGGGCACCTTTTCAAACTGGGATAGACAGATGACCCAACCTGTGAGAGGTGCTTACAAGAAGATGAATCAGCCACACACATCCTATGTGATTGTGGGGCCATAGCGTATCTAAGATTTCGTCACCTGGGCCAGTTCTTTATAGAACCAAGTGACTTTTATGGCGCCCCCATAAATGAAGTCCTACATTTCATTCGAAGTGTAGGAATAATAACGGGCTAATTCAAAGGGGAAGCACAATAGATCATTGAAGGTCGCAGTGCAAGGGCCGGATTTTAAGGCCCACCCCTTACACATACTACTACTACTGCTACATACTAAGACTCCTCGGTCTGTTGCACCTTAAATAGCCGTTGCTTCGTGGCGGCTTCTAATAATGGAGTTTCCTTTCCTTTCGTGCTCATGGCGAATCACTGACTACGAGTGCCGGCTCCCCCAACTCACGACTAACCTAAAGCAGAGCAGTAATTTGCTGCTGGTCGTCGGCAGCACACACATTCTTCATTTCCGGCCCACCGGGACCCATTACCAAATTTTTGGTCTTTCCAAAATCACTTGCATGTTATGAAATGGGGCCTTCTCTTCAATGAGAGGAGTTGGTCTTTCTGAGCAGACGTTACATATGTTGCACTGCAATTTATTATGAGTGTACCAACACTCACACAGCGCCCAGGTAAGGATATTTATAGGCTATGGACACCATTACATGCTTTGTCACTTTACTGTAATAAATAATATTCATACAGCACAGGGACCTCTGTCAATGTGCAGCAAATCATGCCTTAACTTCAGCTAGATGAGGTCAGGTAAACTGCTGCTGGTTTTGCCAACACAGTCTTTCTTGATTCCAGGTTCCGCGGGACTCTACCATATTTTTCTGTCTCACGGCTCTGGTAGTCGTGCAACTGTGGTCAGATATCGGTCGGCCGGGTAAATTTCAGCTGGCCGTCGCCGCTTCCTCTGTTGCGTATGTATCCGTTGTAGTAGGAATGTGTTTACAGAGCTGTTGCTTAGCAATGGACATCTTCCCTGGTTTCACTTTCTAGGCCCTCAGGCGTCATGGTGCAATAGTCAGTAAACCCAAGTACCAAACGGAATCGAAAGCCATCAGAATATTTTAAAATTAAACCTCTGGAAGGATGGATTGACAGACACTATCTACTTTCAGTTTATGCACTACAAGCTGCGAACGTGTGACAGTTACAAATTGGCACGGTGTCACGACACGCCACTGGTTGCAAGTAAATTTTAATAGCGTGTATATTGGTATCGTTGGTAGTTTGCGTGAACGGTGTGTGGTGGCAGTGCTGTTTGTTGCTAGATTGTCTTTGGTGGTCGTTGGTTGTCTATGCTGAACTTTATGTTTCGAAAGAAGTGTGATCTAAGAAACGTCGCAGGTGATTAAACATAGAGAAGAAAAGTGCAATTTTAATTCTTGTGTCAGTGTATCTTTGGCAGTGAAGATGAAGTTGCTGTATTTAACAGTGCTTGGACTAATCTGCGGTAAGGATGCAACGCAGTGTCTAATTTCTTGTATGTATATATAATACGTTAGTTGAAATTACTTCGCAATCAGTCTTATGGCGATGTTGCGTAGATAGCTGAACTTTATCATAATTTTAATATTATTTTCTCCCCCTACTTAGATATTTGGTTATGATTGTCAAAATATGTTTTGTATCCTATTATACATTACAGTTGGTGTTATATTGTGAAATTGTGTTATCCACATATACTAGGCATATTGAAACGGAATGCATTCCTGTTCAGTTGTCTAAATTTTGTCTGCCCATGTATATGTTGGGCTTTATAAAGGTAGTATCATGCATTATACATACACTTTTCATGTGGTACATTGTTCTGACTAGGCCACAGACAATGAAAAGTTGCAGAGATAGGGTACAAAGATCATAGTTTTCAGTCACCTTGTCATTCAGTCATATACAGTGTAACTGGTTTTGTGCAGAGCTCATACCGGAAAGCTCAAGTGGTAAATGAGTTATTTAGGTAGAAAATCAGTAATTTTTTGTCTGTGAAAAATGTAATATCAAGAAGGTAAAAGTGATTGGTACGGTACCTGTTACTTTCCCTTTACTTTCTCTATTGTCATCCTTCATAATACAGTTTTTGTTGTGGAAGTCGGTATAGCGGGAAGATTTATACATTTTGGGATTAGGAAGGCATGATCTGTATTAGCTTTTGATTTCCAGTAGTCTGCATCTGATCAGTTTGGGCAGTTTATAGATAAACAATACAGCTACACAAAATAACTGTGGAAGAAGTGTGCATCATTGTGGTAGCCTTTAATAAGTGAAAAACTTGAATTATTACTCGTGTTAATTTAAAAACATTTGAACTGTTTTAACTGACTTTCAATTTTAAGTGGTGCTTCCATCGATAGGGAACTGATGTAATGAAGCAGCATACATATAAGATATACCTGAGGATGGCCTTATAAGGCTAAAACATATTGTAGAGATAGTGAAATAATGCATGAAAATTTGGCAGTGTGGCAGCTGCCGCACAGCCATTGAAAGTTGTGTTAATAAGATTAAAAATAAACATTAAGTGAAACACAAACTTTCTTAAACTAAAATTTGACATCTTCCTGGCATCTGGCTAGGGGGTAGGAACATAGATGGGTAGGTACCATAGATCATAATAATCCCTACTGGTGCCTGCCACTTGAAGTGCAGGCTAAGCTGTCTGTAGAAAACCTTGATGATACCTCTAACCATGATAGGGGGTGGAGAGGGATGCTGAACTCCACTGCTGTACCTGCTCTAAAATAGCGGGGTAACACCCTTCTACCTTTTCCTGCAGCCACAACTGATTAGGATTTGGGAGCCAGCCCTTAGTCACCTGATTTTCATTGCTATCATCTGATTAGGTTCCCTATGTGGAGTACCACCCCTAAGAGACATCTCAGGACAAAAAATAGGTTGCAGTACACTGATTTCATTTATAGTCTTATGGAATTTCATGGTAGCAAGAAAAGTGGCAATTTTCGTTTGACATCTATGCACAGAATTACACTCTAACCCCTAAGGGTTCAATGAATCCTCTTAGATTTAACTACTGACTATTATCTACTAAAATATTCATTGCACGGATATCATTAGAGACCTGTATAGAGGAATAAATGAACTGAAGAGGGCTTACCAACCTAAAAGTATGAATGAATGAATGCATAATGGGTGGGCCCTTCTGGTCCTTGCACTGCGACCATCAATGATCTGCTGTGCTTCCCCTTTTTTGTTTAACCCTTTATCGATCCTACACTTCAAATGAAATGTGGTTCTTTGTTTATAGGGGTGTCATAGGAGTCACTTGGCTCCATAAAAAACTTGCCCAAGCGGTGAAAGCTTAAGTAAGCTATGGCCTCACAATCGCATAGGATGTGTGTTGCTGATTCATCCTTTTCAGGCACTGTTCACAAGTGGGGTCATCTGTTTGTCCCAGTTGAACCTAAAAGAAAGTTAGTGGAAGATGAAAATGGTGCTCTGCTTGCAATTGCCACTAACATATGGCACAGATGGGAGAACTGCTTCTCTCAGTTATTGAATGTACATAGGGTCAGTGAGGTTAGGCAGGTAGAAATACATACAACTAAGTCGTTGGCAACTAATCCTAGCCCTTTTGAGATTGAAATTGCTACTGCAAACTTGAAACGGTATAAATCGCCAGATAGTGATCGAATTCTGGCAGAACTTATTCAGGCAGAAGTGGAATATTACATTCTAAGATCCATAAGCTAATTACTTCTATTTGGCATAAGGAAAGGTTGCCTGATCAGTGGAAGGAGTCTCTTATTGTACCAGTTCACAAGAAGGGTGATAAAACTGACTGTAGTAATTATCCAGGGATATCACTACTATCAACTTCATACAAAATTTTATCAAATATTCTTCTCTCAAGGTTAAGTCCACACATAAATGAAATTACTGGGGAGCATCAGTGTGGGTTTCGATGTAACAGATCAACTACTAATCAGATCTTTTGGATTCGTCAGATATTGGAGAAAAAATGGTAGTACAATGAGATAGTACATCAACTATTTGTAGACCCCAAGAAAACCTTTGATTCAGTTAGGAGGGAAGAATTATACAATATTCTGATAGAGTTTGGGATACCCATAAAACTAGGTAGGTTGAATGAAATGTGTTTAAACGAAACGTATAGTGAAGTCCGTGTAGGTAAACATTTGTCTGATAAATCTCCTATCCAGAATGGTTTAAATCAAGGAGATGCTTTATCGCCACTGCTTTTCAACTTTGCTTTAGAATATGTCATTAGAAAGAACCAACAAAACCAGGTGAGGCTGAATGAAATTAAACGGGACACATCAGCTGTTGGTCTATGCTGATAGTGTGAATCTGCTGAGTGATAATATAAATACTATAAAGAGAAACACACAGACTTTAATTGACGCTGGTAAGGAGGTTGGTATAGAATCATTACCAGAATGCAGGGCAAAATCGTGACATAAAGATAGCTGACAGACTCTTTGAAAATATGGGATCATTTAAATGTTTGGGAACAACAGTAACAAATCAAAACCTGATTCAGAAGGAGATTAAGAGTAAGCTGAACTCGGGTAATGCTTCCTACCATTTAGTGAAGAACCTTTTGTCTTCTCGTCTACTATCTAAAAGCGTAAAAATTATAATATACAAAATTAATGTTCCCTTTGGTTCTGTATGGGTGTGAAACTTGGTCTCTGACATTAAGGTAGGAACATACTGAGGGTGTTTGAGAACAGGGTGTTGAGGAGAATATTTGGACAGAAGAGGGATGAAGTGACAGGAGGTTGGAGAAAACTGCACAGTGAGGAGCTTTATAACCTGTACTGTTCTCCAAGTATAATTAGAATAATGAAGTCAAGGAGAGTGTGATGAGCAGGGCATGTAGCACGAATGGGGAGAGGAGGAATGCTTGTAGGATATTTGTGGGAAAGCCAGAAGGAAAGAAACCACTAAGACCAGGACTTAGGATAGGGTGATGTGGACTGGATTGATCTGGCTCAGGATAGGGACCAGTGGAGGACTCTTGTGAACATTGTAGTGAACCTTCGGGTTCCATAGAATGTTGGGAAATTCTTGAGTAGCTGCACAGCTAGTGGCTTCCCAGTAAAGGCTCATCTCCGTGGAGTCAATTATTGTGTATAGGCATTAAATAACTAGTTGTGTAGGCAGTTATTTCATACCTTATTAACATATTGGCCTAATATTAAAAAACTATCTGATTTTGACTCCATCTGTCACCACTGATATTAAAAATACAAAAGTAGTAAAGATCTGTTACTGTAGTAACAGTCACCTGAAAGTGGGAGTTGAGTCAGCTTCTGAAATGCTGTGTTTATGAAAGGTACTCCAGACAGTGGACAGTGGCCAACATATTATTTGTGTAATTCTTGTGTTATGGAAGTTTGTTTTTGCCATGGCACCTTTGAAATGTGTCTAACTTGGAAAGTGTTTTGACAGCTTGAGGTTGCTTATGTATCTGATGTGTCATTATGTTATATTTTTGCACATTATTAAGATCCAAGGGCCCTTGAGTAGACCACCAACAGCCATACTTGTCTGGAAAAAGGATATTGTGAGAACCACAAGACTTTGTGTCCAATAAAATAGCTGGCAATAAAAGGTTCTCTTATTCAGTATTTCTGTTGTGATCAGTCACAATGACTGGAATATAAAATTATGAAAGGAATTTTAGGTGTAATCTGTAATTTTCTTTCAGTTTCACTTGGAGTTAATTCATACTTACTGGGTGCCAAAGAATGCACTTGGGGACCATCGTATTGGTGTCAGAATATTACGTAAGTATGCATGGAGTACAAGTATACTGCTCTGTCCAAAAGTATCCGACCTTGGGGCCGGGAAAAAAAAAGTTCTGTATCTGGGTGGTTACAATACCTAATCGCCTTCAAAGTAGGCCCCTTGTGACTCCACACACTTAGCCCAGCGGTCCTTCCATCGCTGGAAGCAATTCTGGAAGGCTTTTTTGGAATGGCATGCAGCTGCGCCATCGCGTTCTGTATGATGTCCTTGTGGCTGTCAAAACAGGAGCCTTTCAGCGGTGTCTTCAATCTCGGGAACAGCCAGAAATCACAAGGAGCCATGTCAGAAGAGTAGGGAGCCTGGCGAACCTGCGGAATGCCATGCTTGGCCAGGAAACCCTGGATTAGGTGTGATGAATGAGCTGGGACTTTGTCATGATGCAGCTGCCAGTTGCGTGTGTCCCACAGCTCCGGTCTCTTGCGCCAAACTGCATCATGAAGATGGTGGAGGACTTCTTGGTAGTACTCCTTATTGACAGTCTGGCCTAGTGGTGCATACTCATGATGCGCGACACCCCGGTAATCGAAAAAAACAGTCAGTGTCACCTTCACATTGCTCCGAACCTGTCGTGCTCTTTTGGGCGTCAGGGATGTTGGATGCTTCCATTGTGACACCTGGATCTTGGTTTCCGGTTCATATCCATACACCCACAACTCGTCACCAGTGATCACAGTCTTCAGGAACTCAGGATCCCTGTTGGTGCACTCCAGCATGTCCTGCGCGACCTCATGGCGGAGTTGTTGCTGCTCCGGCGAAAGCGGCTTGGGTACAAATTTTGCCGCCACTCTTCGCATGCCCAAATCCTCAGTTAAAATTGTGTTTGCGGAACCTCTGCTGATCCCAACCTCATCAGCAACTTCACAGATGGCCAAACAACGGTCCTGCATGATCAGTGTCTGCACGTTTTCAATGACATAAGCATTTCGGCTTGTTGACGGTCTCCCAGAACGCTGCTCACTGTCCGCCGACATACGGCCATGTTTAAAGCTGTTGTTTGAGTGACCCCCCATTGCATCATCGCTGAAAGGCTGCTGAATTTTGTGAATTGTTTCTGCGTGGGTATCCCCAAGTTTCTGGCAGAACTTAATGCAGTATTGCTGCTCCAAGCATTCTGTCATCTTGAGCGAAAGAGAATGTGACGAACATATGTTACACCACTTCACTCTCTGGCAGCGACAGACGCATGCGGCAGTGTTGCGACTCAGCAAAAAATCACACATGCGCATGAAAGTCCTCTCTACCACTACGCTCAGTTCCCCCCCCCCTTTGGCCATTACTTACAGCAGAAAAAAATAAAGTCGGATACTTTTTGGACATACGGTATGTATATCTCTGGATACATGCAGGGTGATTCAAAGCCCTATGATGATTATCCACTTTTAAAGAAAATTAATAACTATATTATAATATATTAATAACTATATTTTTTACATCTAACATTTTTGTATTACTTTTAAATATAATGAATGAGGAGCAAAAATTGCTGAGTTATTAGCTTTTCTCAGTTTGGATTTTGCATGAAATTTAACACAAATAACTTGAAAAAGAAATTTTAACTCTGAAACATGAAATTAATCGAAATAATATTGAAGTATTATTTAGGCTCAGTTCCTGTCTCATAGGAAACCCACTATTTTTCCTTTATGAAAGACCAACCAGTTAATTCTGTTTAGGGAGATAATAACTTTTTATCATGAGAGGCATATGAAACACAAAATATATACAATATACAAGTACAGAGTTTCTGAATGTTAAAGCAGATGGTGCTTGTAGTAACCACTATGCTTTAGAGGGTTCAAAGCGAGCCAGCTGAGTTACCTAAGCTTGTAAGAGTAACTATGCTTGGAAAGGTCAAGGAGCCCGATTCTTGGGCCTTTGATTAGGAGCATTTTGTTAGTACACAGGATGTTATTGAAACTAGGTACAGTGGCCATGTGGTTGAGGACTTTTTTTAAATTTACATTGAAATGCCTTGAAGTTGAAAATGATGACAGGCTTTTGCAAAGTAAATATGGTATGTTACTACTACAAATTTATTTATAGTGTGGCATGTGGGCTGTTTCTGGGAAACAAATAGGCGAACTAGTTGCTATGGAGAGAATGATTTATGGGAACCAACTAATTATGAAACATGGTTTATGTGGATGTGGACACTGGAAGTTGTAAACATTTTGAAAACCAAACCGTTGCTTGGGAATTAAAACATGGTTTCCGAGACAACGCATTCCTGAAGAACAGAAACGGTCCCCTTGGAGGCAGTGATTGCTGTTAGGTTTTCAGGCAGCTATAAAATTCATTGCTTTTATAGATTCAGAGTCTGATTGCATAGAGATCAGTCTGATATTAGAGATTCAGACAGGAGTCAGAGGTCCTGCATAGAGATTCATCAGATGCGTTCAGAAGGAGTCCAGTGTCTGAGCTGTTATAATTGACTGTAATTGTAAGGAAGTGCCAATAAACCCAACCATCAAATCCAGAACCCATTATTATTAGTCATGCCATCCCCCTTATATATATGACAATAGGATTTGATTTTCCAACATAAGTGATAATGAAGAGTCTGTGTTCTGGGGTGTAATGTCATGTGTTCCATTGAAAGTCGACCGACATTTTGGAGCGACAGCAGAGCTTGCTGCCAGATTCATGCTGGTTTCTTGCTTGGTTTATTCTTTGATCCTGAAGGTGAAGGTGATATGTTCTTCCAAAATGTTTGGCTTTTAGCAGAATACGCAACATTATGTCCCAAAAAGTAGAAGTCTCCAATTTATTTGTTTCAGGAAGCATAGTGGCCAACGTTTTCATCGTTTTACTGAGTCCCTCCAGGCAAGTGCTGGGCTAATAAATTAAGCCACAATTGCTTCCTTCCACATCCTTTTCATTCATTATTTACTGGTCATCTTGACATTTGACATTGTATATCCTCAGTTACTGATGTCATTATTTAATAAGCTACAACTGAATAATAAGCTTGATGCACAAGGAGTTCCATTTGTGGTATGTTCCTGCATGTACATGATCTGTTCTTTGAGACACTCTTGATTGTGCAGGCATGCTAAATCATGTGGAGCTGTGAAACATTGTATCCAGACAGTGTGGGAGCATCAGAAACTGCCCCCGGATGATGATGATGTCTGCAAGATCTGTTTGGAAATGGTGAAGGAGGCTCGAGATCAACTGGAGAGCAATGAAACACAGGTGAAAACATTAAACCGTAACAATAATGTAGTATGCAATATAATATCGATGGGAAGTAGAATGAACCCTGCCTTATCCAATTCTTCCAACAAAATGATCAGTTTATGCATTTGACAATGCTACTGATGAATTGTCTTCAGGTTTCTTCACCCAAAAAGTTCCCTATGGAGTCAGATGTATGAAAAGATACTTCAAATTGAAGTGCCTACACAAATGTGACTTTTATAGACCACTCTGCACCTTCTGTTTCAGTTGATAGGCAAATATGTCATAATGCATCACTTACGTGTTTTTAGTTTGCAATAGGTGTGTCAGACGCGGTAGCGTAGTTGGTCAAGGCACTATGCTACAAGCCAGAAGGTTGCGGGTTCAAGTCCCGATGACATCATTGGATTTTTCCCATTTGAGGAAATAGTTTCTTCTGGCATTGCTTTCGTGTCTAGTTGAAGTTTGATATGACTGCAAGCCATCCATACTCATGACCATAAACCGGATTAGGATATTGACCTTAAAACAAAACAAAACAAAACAAAACAAAACAAAACTAGAGTGAAATTCGTAAGGACAAAGAGACAGAGGCAGATAGTAAACTTCGTCACTAAAATCCATTCCTCTGAATGCATAAGAGGCTTAAATAGACTCAGTAGCTCTCTGTTGTGACTTTACAAAGCGCCCGGGAATTTTATTTTTCCGATAGAAATTATGCCTCGCTATGACAATGGATTGGAGTTGGGTAGCGCAGTCAGTATACCTACTGGCTACAGGTTTGACTATAGACGGGCTGGAATTTTGAGTCCCGGAAATTTTCTCTTCCTCACATCTTCGAGACTGGCTCAGTGGCCCACCTAGCCTCCTGTCCAATGGGAACCAGAGGCACTTTCCTCGGCGTAAAATGGCAGGGTCTTGAAACTGACCACTCACCTCCAACTAGTGCCGAGGTCAAGAAAACATCTGCTCCCACATACTCCTTCATGGCATAGTGTTAAATTAGTTGAGCACAGGGACAAATTTACCATTTCAGCTTTTTATAACAATGGATTATATCATGCTGCTACTTAGAACGGCTAAGGCATGCGGTAGCGTAGTTGGTTCAGGCACTTTGCTACAAGCCAGAAGGTCGTGGGTTCAAGTCCTAATGACATTGGATTTTTTTTCAATTGACCTAATCCTTCCAGCTGCACTGTGGCCCTGTGGCCCTGGGGTCGACTCAGCCTCTAACAGAAATGAGTACCAGGAATATTCTTAGAATGTTCTAGGGGCCAAAGGGCAGCTGGCGCATAAGGCTGACAACCTTGCTGCCATCTATGAGCCGAGTGTCTAGAAAATGTGGGAACCTGAATATCTCACAACCCTATGCTACTCCACGGCCTGTTACAGGGATACCTTTATTTACTTTTGTAGGTGTGTTAGAAAGAATTAGACATATTATAAAAAATTAACTTCTGACAGCATCAAACAGACACAATAGAACATCCATTTGATGTTCCTCAGTTTAAGCTTCTCTTCATGTAATGCTCAGTTTTAAAAATCTCCAATTGGTAATCTCAGTGATAAATTTCCTTCATTAAGATTTTAAGCACTTCAGTGTTCAAAGTCGTTTCGTTAAAATTGAAATTGGTGAAAATATGTGTCATTTTTTCCAAATAATATAAATACTGTAATTGCATGAAGCAAAGAGCACAGATTTACACTTTTTATTTTGATCTGTGGGAAATGTATAGCACATGAGATACCTAAAAATAGTTTAACTTTGTATTGAGTATATTGTTCATACCACACGTTGAAGTGTATGTAGAAAGACTTGATGTTGCCTTTTTACATCCTTCTCACATTTCCTAAGATTCCCATCTGCCTCTTCCTTTCCTTCCCCGAAAATGTCCACATTTTGCCACCGTTTCCATCCATGTATGGGTGAAGATGCTAACATAGAAGTATAACTCTATATAGCACCTGAATTTATTCCAGTCTCGCTATCCATATTTCATAAACTCCTTCCTCCAAAAAGATAAAGTTGACCCTGTAGTTAATTAATTATGCACAATGCCATGAAGACCTCTGGGGAAGTAGAGGTATAGCTTCCCCTTTCTTCACCTCAACACTAGGTAGAGGTGAGTAAGCTCCACACCCCATCTGCTTTAGCTCCAGGGAAAGGGGCCCCAGTACCCATTGGATAGGAGGCCAGGTGAGCCCCTCAGACTGTAGAGAAGAGCAAAATCTCTTGCTGGGAACAAAATCCCAGCTGTTCTGCCCATAGCCTGTCACTTTATTGACTGACTTTTTACACCGTTTATCATTCAGGCTAAATTGTAATTTTTCTCAATAGTTGAGTCATCAAAATGAGTGGCTCCTAGGCTGGATAACTCGGATCTGATTTGTAGGGGAATGATTTTTCACTTGACAGATTAGTCTAGAAGTAACATTGTAGATTTGTGTTCAGTCAGTGCACAGTTTGAGTCTCAGCCAGGGCACTCGCTATCCTGGCAGAGGTTTTCATGCTCTTCCTCAAGCCTTCCAGGCAAATGCTGAATTGTACTCTGATTAGACCATGATGGTTTCCTGCCAAATCCTTTCCAATTCATCAGTCATCCTACCATCGAGTGCTATATAATGTCATGATTGAAAAATGTTGTTAAATAAAACGTGGAAAAACGGTTTTTTCTCTTCACCATTTTGTCCAGAGTGTCTGTGGGGTTCACTCATGTCCATGTGGTGCCAAAGTTAAGAATACATGAAGCTTTATCTCCCCCCCCCCAAAAGCTTGCTTTTAGGTTGTATTGAATTCTGTGGCAGTGACTCATATGTGTTTAGAATATATGCAGTCAATCAGTGGACTCTAATTTATTCTTTGTAGGAAGAACTGAAGGAAGTGTTCGAGGGTTCATGCAAGCTCATCCCCGTTAAGGTTGTCTCTGAAGCATGTTGCAAGGTGGCTGATGAATTTATTCCTGAGTTAGTGGAAACTTTGGCCTCACAAATGAACCCTCAAGTTGTGTGTTCAGTGGCTGGCCTGTGTAACAGTGCTTGGGTTGACAAACAGCTGGAAGAAAACAGGGTATGTTACAGAAGACATCTGTATTCAGATGCAAGCAAGACATTTGAATATGCTCACATTATGTTTGTAAATTGATGATAATTTGACTTTTATGACATCATCCATCATCCTGTTTTTTTATTTAAAAACATTTTGGGGACTGGACTTTGTCTCCATCCTCAAGTGAAAGCTGACACAGTTAACTAATTGATAGAGCTAGTCCCGATCTCTGGACATTGGATAATGCCCTAAAAGTCAATTATTATATTTATATATATATACACCATCTTCACAAACCTTTAGATCTTGTTGACAGTGTCCTTGTTTATAACATAGTTTGAAGCTTTAATTTTAAATTTGTATGGAATATAGTGTTTTAATCCAGAGGAAGGAAAATGCGTGAGCCAGTAAATGAATTAATTGAAGAATTTTTTGAAAGAAAGTGGAGAGGTTCTGATTGATAAACTGTAATTAGTTGGAGACAAATGGAAATTGCTCTCTAATGAACCTAAATGATTCTGAAACAAATATACAATAAGAAGAAATGATAACAGTTCTGATTTCACATGAATCATTTGACCGCAGATTCTGAAAACTGTTTATGCAGTGGATAGATTTAGGACTTGAGCAATGAAATGTCTAGCCTCAGCACCATGTTTGTTAATTTACATAGGGTTTCTTTTCTCCAGCTAGAAGAAGGGTTGATTAAAGCAACTCCACTGCAAGAGGCAACAGATGTGAATGACTGTTCTGGTTGCAAAGTAGTTATTAATGCACTGGAGAAGAGAATGGAAACCATGTCACGAGATGAACTGCTTAATAATATGCTGCGGGTAAGAAACTAGGTCTGTTTTTGCTATTTCCATAAAAGACACTCAAGTTTTTTCTGTGTGTTCTCACTGATTTGTTACCATACTTTGGGTTACTCTGCTAAATGTGCATGTTTTGGTTCAAAAACCTCAAGAGAAGAGACCATCTGGGAGACCTTGACATAGTTAGAAGCATGTTGAATTTAATTTTTGTAAAAGAAATTGTCAAGGTAAGAAGTGGATTCAGGTGGCTCAGAATATGATCCTTGCTGGGTTCTTTTGAACACTAACCTTTTAGCTCTACAAAAGTAGGGATTTCCTTGACCAGCCTAGTAACTGCCACATTCTCAAAAAAGATACTCTCTACTACAAATTTGTCATCCTGCTGATTTTGCTGCTGAAAAATGCTGTGAACTGCTGTGATTTGTACTGTACTGGTTTGGTCTAGAAGTGCCACTTTAGACTTGTATTTGAGAGGTGTTCAGCTTGAATGTTGTGTGTGACACCAGCTAGGCTGGCAGACTTTTCATGCTCTTCTGCAGTTCCTCCAGGCAATGTCAGAATAGTACCTCGAGTAAGCCACAGCCACTTCCTTCAAAATCAGCCATTGTACCTTCCAATGCTATATAGACAGCATCATGAAATAACCCACAAAAAATTGTGACTTTTACAGTTCTTCGTTGTGTGTTGTGGGCTATTATTTGTTACTAATTCTTATGTGATGTGGTAAATGGGTTACAAAGAATTGACATCAGTGCATGTAATGATGATTGATCTTTGAAGCTAGGTTGCGGAGTTCAGGAAGCAGTCCTTAAAGCGTGTGTCTCCAACCTAATTTTATGGATAGCAAAATCCAGTGAACTACCTGCTCATAGAGTTATAACAACATATTAGTTATTAACATAAATAAAACAAAAGAACCTTGATATAAAACATAATTATTTATGGTGGAAGTCCCTTTTTATTGTTCTTTAGTTTAAAGCTTTTGCCAGTTTAAGACCCATTTGCAGTGATCTCAAGTCAGTAACCTAGCCATTAAGTTGCCTGTGTTTAAGATTTTTCTCAGATTAGTTTTCAGACCACCATAGGAAGAAACCTTCAATTAAGGTTTTGTAGGGGTCAAGAAGATTTCAACATGTCTGAGGAAAATCTTAATGGAAATATTTTTAACACTGACACGATAGATTTGGGATTACTGAAATTGAATGGCAAATGAGGGAAAATCATAAATCAAGGAACATGAGCTGGGGGTTCCACTGTATAATGCACTGATGGCCTCTTCTGTCTCATATTCAAACTGTGTCATGGTTTAATCCCAAAGGCCAGCTGAATCACATGACATTTTCATGACTTTCCAGTTGCATATGGTTAAATCACTGTGATTTTAACATTATCATTGTTGCTATAAGCCTAGCAGCATAAGTGAGAATTGTTAATTAACAGACATGAGAAATGAAGAAACACTGAAAGCTGTTGACATTGTAAGTAAAAGTATTGAGAAAATACCTGTATATGCTTTGTATGTAAATATGTTGTGAGGTAACACCATAAATATACACAGTTAGTTACTCAGTTGGATTCGCTGGCTTCCCACCCTGGGTTCAATCCTGGATTTGGTCAAGTGGGATTTCTGGTGGATAAAGTGGCGCTGGGGTGAGTTTTCTCTGAGTACTTCGGTTTCCCCTGCCAATCTTCATTCCACCAAATTCTCCATCATCATAATCACCTGGGGCAGGCTACAGTAGACCAATCAGTGGCCGCCGTGCCGAGTGGACCCAGTTGGACTCCGCCCCCCACTAAGCGAATTTAAGAATTTTACTCAGTTGGATATTTAATTTAAAACTGGAAATAAAGATACAAATATCCACCAACTTACACATACCCAAGAATGGTCAGGTGCTTGAAATATTTAGAATTCATTTTCATTGCAAAATACGGAATTCAAGTAACATAGTTCCATTGTTTTTAATAAGGGCTAAAAAATGAAATTAAAAGATTAAGTTTTGTGGTTTTTCTGTTATATTTGTGAGTAGGTCTACTTAAGAATTTCCTGGTAAATGTATTGATTCATGGGACAAGGATTTCTGACTGGAAATGCGTGCATTGATATGGATTCTTGCCTTGTAGTCCTCATATGCCTGGTTTGGCATGATGCCAGATTTACTTCATAGAAAGTGCAAGTGAAGCCCCATGTCATCAAATGTTTGAGTGGCACTTTTTGGATCTGGCCCAAATGTTTACAACGAGAACATTGTTTGTTTCAAATGTAGAGCTTTTAGATGGGAATTAGCATATCTGTGCCTCACATGCATCGCTGTTTGTTATTGCAAGAGAAAAATATATCTATCATTTTGAAACTACTTTTCTTGGACTGAATATTTTTAATTATCTAATTTTTGAGTTGTATGTTGCAACTCTTAGTAATGTTTGAGTTTCTCTAACTCTCCATGTTTCATATCTTCATTGCATCACCCTATGCATTTGAAAGCATGTCATATATATTTTATTGTAATAAATATGTAGGATAACTATGAAATAAAACTGATTTTTATTAGTTTTGAGGTTCATGTAATCTAGGCTGTCTTTTGTGATATGATGCCGTGTAGTGTAGTAGGAGACTGCTCAGTCTGCTTGCTACTTGCTTGGCTTACTCTTTGACCCTGAAAATGGAGACAGAATATTTTGTGAAATGACACTGAACTCCCACTGGACTGCATAGTATCATATTCTGGAAGGTACTTCACAAGACAGTGTTTTTCTTTCTTAATTTAATTGCTCTCATTGTAAATTGAAAACTCAGTATGAAAGTTATTCCATTAAGAGAATCTCATTGAATTACCTTAGATCAGGGGTCTCAAACACATGAGCTTTATTAGCCCCACTGGTTCATTTTGTGCAGCACTGTCAGTAATGAAATATGATCAATTAGCAATAATATTTGTGGTATAGAATGAAATTTTTATTTTAATTTTCATAATTCCTTGAAGAAAGTATGGTAATAGGTATGTGAACGTGCAGAAAGTGGCAATATACAGCATAAGTCAGTAAAGAGAGTGGAGTAAAGTTTGAAATTCACTTATTTTAAAATGTTATAGTTTGGTATTAAATGTATGAAATATTCTTAGTGGTATGTTTAATTTTAAATAAGATGTACTCTGTTGAAAATTAAACACAGCAGTGAGAGATTAACTTTACATTTCAGAATTATAAGTTTGGCCCTGTATGATTTGAGATTAAGACCCTTGCTGTAGATGACAGCTGCTCACACATTTCATCTTGGAGCACAGTCAGCCTTTTTCAGGACTCTGTTTGATGATGATGGGTATTTATTCAGTGCTTAAGGTCATCTTTATTGTATAAGAACTGTAGTGTGGAGGTCTTGTAAAACTCACTTTTTTTTTTTGAGTTCCACATTTGTAACTTAACGACCTACAGCATTTAGGTTGCAGAATGGTACTGAATTTACATTCAGTATGCACTATATGTGTGTCATCAGGCAGATTTTCAGACATGAAGAGGCCTGAACTTCATTCCTTAAAATGTGGCTTGAACTAAACTTCAGATTTCTTTGCAAGCAATTTTGTGCCTTAATCCCAAGGATGGTACTTTTTGCACAAAACATAATCCGTATACACATGTGCCGGAGGGAGTCTGGAAAGTTTGTTTAGTCATTATTATTATTATTATTATTATTATTATTAAATTTGTATGACACATAAATTTCCTGTGCTTTTCACTTGTACCTTCTTCAGGTTTGGTTTCTTCACGTATCGCGGCTGTCCGCAGCCTGGGTCCTTCACTTTATTTCTGCCTTGTAGTTGCTGTCTCAGGCCTCTGTCCCTTATGCCAGTAATGCATTCTGGGCCTTTCCACACACACTTCCCAAATGTCAGTTTCTTGATGGTTTTCTTTGTGACCTTGTTCTTGTTTCGTTCCATATGACTGTATCCTCCACAGTGTGTAATCTTCCTCCTGGGCACAGTTACTCTTTTCTGCAGTCCTTCCCTGAAGATGTTCCTCTTACGCCATGCCACTGTTGCATGGTGGGACACCTTCCTGCAGGTTTTCTTCTGCGGTGCTGCTTCCACACGGCAGCTCATCCGTTTGCGGGCGACGGGCAGTCTTCTTCGGCACTCATCATTGCCCTGGGTCTGTTTCTTCATTTGTCACTGGTTTCTATCCCTACGCCTTTTTTCTTCAGTTCTCTGACTGGTATTACTTTGGCGACTTCTGTGGGGATCTCTCGTCTTTCTGCCGCCTCAGGTTTCCTGTCCAGTGAGGTCGGCTGTTGTTCTTCTAGACGTTCCTCCATCTCTTGGCAGGCCATTGTCTTTATGTCTCTTCTGGGTTCGATTTCGGCCACCATCTCCTTGTGGCTGGTGCCCATATTTTCTTGCATGGCTCTCATTTCTGCTCGGATGGCTTCCGTTTCCTTCGTTATGGCTTCCATCCTCTCTTGATGGGTTCTGAATATTTCTTGCATCTGCCTTCACCTGGTTGGCCTTCATCTGTTTCAGCATTTCTATTATTTGTTCCACTTTCAATTGACAACACTGTAAACAGACACTTTAGTCCTCAGTTCAATAATTGCTTCAGTCGAAGAACTCCGACCAAATTGCAGCGTGTTTAAGTTCGTAAACACTTCTGACACCAATGTGTCATGTGTTGGGTGTGTCACGTGACAATTTAATAGTTTGGATAGCTCATTTGGTATATTGACAGAATGTGGCTGTTGTTTGATTCATGGCAGGGGTAAGCTTTTTATGTCCATAATGTCCATACCTGCTCTGGGGTCCATCTAGCCCTCCTATCCCATGGGTACCATGGGCGATTTCCCCGGGGGTAAAATGGCCTTTTGTGTGAAGCTGGCCACACCACCTAATACTGAGGTCAAGAATGGTGGATCTATGCCTGCACTCTTCTGTATGCCTTCGTGGTGTGGTGCTTAATTGCTTAAACACGGACAACTTTCTCTTTATATCCAGTAATAAATTTTAGAAAGTATTCAAATGTTTAAAAATATTTGTTATGTCTGGCTAAACTTCAAAATATTGCCGTGATTTCTAGCCGTAAAATGTAATACTGTCTTGTATGATAAGTATGATATGTATGATAAGTGATTTATAGTGCAGATTTTTCTTATGATATAAGACAAAGTATTACTACTACATGTTTCAAAAATTTGTAAAAGTGTTAAATTATTTTTGTCCATCACCTGTGTATAATATGTGGAACGCATAATGAAGAAGGAAATGTAGGACCAGTTGCTATGCTGTCACGTTGAATTTTCAGTTTCATTTTATTTGCGATTTTGAAGGCATGTGGACGTATTGGAAGCCTCTCAGATGGCTGTTCAGCAATCATCATCACTTACTTCACTGAAATCTATGACTTCCTGCAGAGGAATTTCAAGTCAGGTGATGTGTGCCATGTGGCAGGTGTTTGTTCTGCAACATTCCACAAGCACAGGGTAAGTCTCATAGGATGTATATTGTTAATGTGACACTTTAGGTTTCAGCCAACAGTTTGTAACTACGTAAACTAACAGAAGTGTTAGGCTTGTCTATATACCATGTTCATGTTTTCATGATGGAACATATCATTTGGGATGGCTTAGCAGGAATGGTCTAGACTTGTATTTTGTAGGTGCTTGGTTTGAATATCACTTGAGACACTGGCTGTCATGACTCAGTATTTTTCATCATTTTCCTCAGTCTCTCTGGTGAAATGCTAGTATAGTATTCTCATACGGCCATGACTTCTAAATCCTTTCTAATTTGTCATTCATCTTTCATCCTACCGTTCAGTGCTATATGAGGAATGCCGTCTTCTGAGATGTGGCGCCATGTATATATTGTGTTAACCGATGTTATAGAGGAACGTATTTCTTATACCCTTAAGATGGAGGTGATACGTTTCTCTGAAATGTCAGTTAACAGTATCTACATGGTGCCACATGTGAAAACCTCAAATCCTACACAGTGCTATATAGTCTAGTCACAGCATAAAATAACCCACAAAGGAAGATGATAGATACAACAATAACTCAAGTGCACACATAGTAACATTCCCTTTTCATTGGTATTTCTGTATTGCTTTTGTCAGTTTTGCCCTCCTTATTCTGAAAAAGTAAAGAGACACTTATGAGATCACCTTGCTTTCTGTGTGTGTCCCAACACCTCAATGTTGTGATAGTGGAGCCAGAAGGGACAGCTGTTGCTAGGCAGCTGCTTGGTAAATACATTCCTGCAGTTAATAAATACATGCACAACAGTAGATGGACTCTTGTATGCAGCATTTTCCATGCTGTCCACATTATGTAGTGAAAAGAAAGTAGGCTATTGGTTATTCCCAGAATTTCTTGTTTGTTATAGTGCTAACTTTCTCCCAATTAATTTTTAAAAATATTGGACTGTATATATTGTCATTTAATGATATATTATGTTATATAAATGGTTTTTGCTGAGATACAGAATTCATTTCGCATGATGTTAGGCTCCATAAGTGCATTGGTTATGTGACCTAGTATGGACTCTGATCACTGCTGGGACACAGTGTTTTAAAAATGCCTCTTATTCTTTTAGCCATAGCTTTCATTTCTTGCTCTTTAATGTGATATTGTAATAAATTGATCAGTTATATACTTTTGAAATTTAGGATTTAGTATCAAAATGTCAAAATGTATTCTATTAGTGGGTGACACTTGTTTCTGAAGTAAAATATAAGTTACATGCAGTGGAATCCCCTATTTAATTTTCCTCATAAAGTTTCCCTCTGGTATTCATTTTCTAGGATCTGGAGACATTAACTTTTAACCCGTTGCCGTTTTTCGTCGTGTATGGTTCGTCAGGGATTTAAATCGTCTGGGGGGGTTCGGCGTGTCTGTTTCGTCCAGCTGCACACCTATGTTATAACGCCCATAATAATTGGTGGTTTTGCTGTAGATTGTTAGATTTTTCGCTGGCCTGTTGTCACAAGAACAGAGTATACTAAGCCAACGAGTTTAGCTGAGATAAGTCATCGTTACATATGCCTGTCTTGCAGCAAAATTCCTGTGGCTCTGGCGAGCGGATTCTAGCTGTACCGTTATGAAAGGCCTGTTTTCTTTGCTTTGAAGATATAAACAACCGAGACGTGATATTTACGATGTTGATAATATCATATTACCCTGAGCTGGCCACAGTAGCACACTCAATTGCAATTCTTAGAAGAGGGTTGTCCAAAATTTTATTCTCGTAAAATCAATTGCTTTCGCACAGTTCATAGCACCCATTTCTTAGAAAAACGCCACAATATAAGGCAGGACACTGTGGTCACCCCCTGAGACGATACGGATGTGTGTGGGGGAGGGAAAAGTACTCATTCCTTCATAATCATCGCTCCAGTTGACGTCATTTTATCGTACTGACCTTGGTGGTCGTTTCGAGGGATGACCGTAAATATCGGAGCGAGGAATGTGGGGCACCGTTGGGTTACACGAATGCTTCAAGGCCTTCCTTACACTGCTCGAATAGATACCGGGCGCTCATATTATAAGGTAAGTTTATAAAAACCATCTTTTAAGATAATTTTAGTGAAAGTTTCATGCTTCAAGGCGTCCCATTCACTGCTCAAATACTAAACAACCTGCTTCCATTGAAGATATAAAGGGCGCGCATATTATAAGGTAAGGTTATAAAACCACCTTTTAAGAGCATTTTAGTGAAAGTTTCATGTTCCTATCTCATAGAATTTAAGAACAATGATGAATAAATAATTTTCGAGCAAAATTTAAATGGCCGGCTGAATATATTACCGCAGGAGCCGCGGCCGCGGAATTTAAATTACCACGTCAAAGGGTTAATGTCCGAAGTGCGCTGATTGGTACACTGATGAGTATGGTTGTCATAGTCAAAGTACCCCAGTTTGTGCATTCAGGCATTTAAATGCCACTAGTGGAAGTGCGCACACACACCTATAATAGATGCATACCCACAATCATAAATGTTTATTTTTAAATCTATTAAAATTTAATGTACATACCTTTTTTGATATCTGCTTGCTGTATATCTAGGCTTCACACCCTGTGTCATGTAACTGAATCACACCTTTGTATGGTACTCCTTGTAGCACCTGAAAAGTGCACAGTCCCATGCCACATATCTTGCACTTCAGCTGCCTATCAATTTCATCACTTTCCAAACAACGTTTCATCGCCATTATATGATGAAATGGAGCTACAATATTAGAAATCACCATGAACTTGCAGAAAACTTAATGCATTATCTCAGCTACAGTGCATTTGGTTGTGACCATAGAAAGGGCGATATTCTCTTCCAGCTGCAATGGAAGGGCTTGGCATTGAAGTAGGGAATCAGGAATTTTCCCTTTAGCCCTTCTTGAAAGGTGGTGCTTTCACTTTTCTGTCCATTAGTCAAAAGACTCGTAATATCTGAAGTGTAACAAAGATGTGAAACATGCCAGCAGGGAACCAATGGATTTTATTGCTTCCAAATGTTTCATGGAACCAGAGAATGTGAAAATATCTCAGATGTTACAAGCAGGAATGGTTGTACAATGCAAAACTTCTCTGTGAAGAAGCGGGAAATAATTTTTAGAGTATGCATCAAAATTGCAAGAAAAAATTAAAAATAAAGTATAACTTTTTTGACTAAATACTGTGGAATTGTCGTCAATACTCCAATGAACAAACCACACGAAACTGTACAATTGTATATATTGAACCCTTTAAAGTCAATATACAGAACACGGAATACACGTATAATGTTCAAGCGTTGGCTGGCCTGTCTAGGCGGTGATGCCGTGCTGAGCGTGCCGGTAGGATCGACTGGCTCGGTCGGTTGCTGCGTAGCGGAAGATGCGTTCGCTGAAGGCTTGCGGCAGCTATGTCAGCTGGTAGCAGAAGTGGAGTTGATGCCTGTAACCGCGTTGCCGTTTCGAGTTGAACTGCTTGCACCTTGGGTTCCCGGTCTTAAATACTACCGGCCGGGAGGCGGAGCTAAAGTTGCAGTCGTCACGGCGCGCATCCATTGGGCCGTGCACGGAAAGGCGGAGTCACGGCGAAGTTTATAAATATATGTAGTTGGTATATAAGTCGCAGTAGTTGGAAATTGTATAAATTCCGTGTCTCTTTGGTCACAGCTGCCAGTTTGGCACTTTCTGAAAGGGGTGACGGTTGTCTGCCAGACGCTGTGGGGATGCTCCCACAATACTTTCAAATCTTACATTATAATATATGACACTATGTACTCTACTGATAAAAACAAAATTAATTTCATTGATTTGTCATAAAAATTGTATTACAGCATTTCTAAATTTCTAATCACCCTAGCAGGAGTAGACATTTAAAAAGCGCACCAGTAGCAGGCATTTAAAAAAATTCTGGCCAGCTCAAACTACCACCATTTCAAAAGTCTAGCATTTAAAGGTTAATCTCCTTATTACATTTTACCCAGTTAAAATAATCAGAGTTCAGATCCACTGCACCACAAGAAAGATCTGAAATGGGTTTCATTGTAATGAGAAAGCACATGAAGAATTCAGTCAGGATGAACAGGCTACTGACTTGTTGACTGCTGAATCAGAGTTCATTTCCCAGCAGGAGCAGGGATATGTCGCCTCTCCATAGCATCAAAACCTGCTCTGGCACCATTCAGCTTCGTTTCCAGTGGCTACTGGGAGTTAAGGTGGCCAGGGTATAAAACTGACTGTTCACCTCCATCTGACAACAAGATTAAGAATGTGTGGAGCTCTACACCCACTCCCTCATACATCTCAATGGCATGGCTTAATTAAGCATGTGGACAACTTTATTTGTAATGAATGAGATTATGTAACAGACTTCTGAATTTCAGGAGTGTGTAATGTTTGGTTGCAGTAGTATCATGAAGAATTATCATGGTGTTGTATTTCTCTTGCAGCCCGTACTGAAGAACATTGAAGTAGTCCATGAGTCTGATATTGGAGTAGTGAAGCCCAAAGATGATTTGCCATGCGAATTCTGTGAACAGCTTGTTATTCACCTCCGCGATGTCCTCGTTGCAAATACCACTGAGGAGGAATTTGAAGAAATCCTGAAAGGCCTGTGCAAGCAGACTCGCTCATTTAAAGATGAAGTACGCACACATTTAACTAAAATCTGCTGTGTGAAGTAAAATTTGAGTTTGCTTTAACCCCCACCCAAAGTTACTGAGACAGATTAATCTCATATACTGTACACCCCTCTGTTACAAAGGGAATGTGTTCTTAAAAACGTGTCCATACTGTGAAGGTCTTTAATGCAAATCCACCCCTTTCTTTTCCACTTCCATGACTTCCATGTTATAAGTTGAGATAAGGAAAATAACTGATGTTCATTTTGAGAACTTTATGAAAAAGACACTTGTAAATATCCTCTGTGAGTGAAATGCATGTTTAATATCAAGCAGACAGTACATGTTGTAACCTCTGTTTTTTAAAGAGTTAAGAAAGGTAAAGCTATCTGTGTAACAGGTCATGGAGGCCCATAGGGTTGTGAGAGGTCAAGGCTCCCACATTTTCTAGACAGGAGGCTCACAGATGGCGGTGAGGTTCTCAGCTTAACATGCCAGCTGCCCTTTACCCTCCCAGGAAGAATTCTGGTACTCATTTCTGTTAGAGACTGAGTCAACCTCAGGGCCATAGTGAGGCAAGAAGGATTAGGTAAATTGAAAAATCTAAGGACATCAGGAATCGAATCCCCAACCTTCCAGCTTGTAGCATAGTGCCTCAAGCAAATATGCTACCGCATGCCCCCTTTAAGGAGTTAGGAGTGCATATTTATTTTTCATCAATTTTTAACGGATAATTTTGATTCTGTGTATTGTATTATGTATCAGAAAAAGAAGAAGTTAGCTCTCTTATAGATTCTACTAAGGAGACCAGGAGGGGTTAGGCTGTATATCTATGCCTCTACAGTCCCTGTGGGCCTTGGATGCTTTTTCCGTTTCTTAATCTATACACAGTTGATAGGACTCCTTGGGTGGGGGTGGATGAGCCCGTTGCAAGGCTGCTACCTACACACAAAACAGCACAAACACAGAATAAATGCGCACAGACATCCATGCCTGGAGTAGGATTTGAACCCATGATCCCAGAGTTCGAGTGGGGAAGACAGTTCATGCCTTAGGCTGCACAGTCACTGTGATTGGCGAAGTGAGTTAATGTGGGTGCAAAAAATGTTGCTTCCTTGATTGTGTAGGATGTGGAATTGTGTGGTGTACAGGTGCACACATTTTGGAGGAACCTCCTGCCTCTGTCTCCTAGCCTGAAGAGGAATGCAAGAGGTTCTTCCAAAGTGTTCATTTCAGTGTGATGTCCCACATAAGGTCATAATTATGATAATCTTCATGCTCACCTTCACAAGAAACTTAAATCTTAATATCCTTAATATCATTACAGATTTTGAATAGGTTTTTTAATGGGCAATTAATTGAATGTTAATTTCTTACAGTGTCTTAGCATTGTGAATGAATACTATGCAGAAATATATGAGTTTTTGGTGAAGGAGTTGAATGCCAAAGAAACATGCCAAGTGTTTGGACTTTGCACTTCACCTGAAGCGAAAGGAAAGGTAAATTATCTACACATTTGATGGAAATCCACAGGATTGAATCCATGATAACCATAATACGTTCTGTGTTGTTTCTGATGCGTTTCTAGTAAGTGAGTTTTAAGTCCTGTTATCTTGTGCTTTGTGTGGTTGTGCAAATGTAATCTAATTTGAGTTTTTTTTAAGCACATTTGATGAAGGACTGGCCTGTGTTGCCACCTGAGCACATGTGTAGTGAACCAGGTTGCATAGCGGTATGTCTGTAGAGACTGGCATTTTGGGCTGCATTTCTGCTCAGCATTTTAAATCTTTCAGTGTGCAGTAGCATTAATGTCCTCAATCGAAGATGCAGAAAGTTGGCTGCTGAACTAATAGGTGAAGAATTTCAAAATCCAGCAAATAGTTTCATTATGTCCATCAGTTTACAGACAATAGGAGTCAAACTCTGAAAGATACAGATCAGAGTTTGAGACAAATATTGATTTTTATGTGTCCATCTTGTTTGATTCAGTTCATTTTAAGGGCCAGTTTCTTTACTTGCAGGATTAAAATGAGCATTCATATAGATCGTTTAGATTCTTGATGTAACTTACTACAGGATACATCTTTTTTTTGCAAATATTACTATGTTTCATTCACTTTAATTCATCTTAAGATCCACACTATTGACTTATGAATATATATATATATATATATATATACAGGGTGTCCCAGGAGGAATGTGCCAAACTTCGGGAGGGTGTTCCTTATGTTAAAGTATGCCGATATAACCCAAAACACCTATGTCCAAAGTTGAACGGTTACGGAGATAATGGCCAGAGAAGTGTCAAACTTTGACCGGGGTTACACACTTGTTGATTACAAAATAGATATTAAAACTGGCAGGAATATGTGGATTCTGTAA